GATTGGTGCAGCACCCACTGATAACACAAAATCCCAGTTATTGGTGACAAATAATGAAATTCATTAAATAATTAAAACAAGAAAGGTTTCATGGGTGTTTCTGAATTGCGTGTACAGGTACAGCAGTGGACAAACAATTTAAATGTCTGGGTACATGAGAGACAAAAAAGTATAGTATGTTCAAATCAAGAGCTTCCATACAGGTGTGGAACAGATGTGTTAATTAAGCAATGGGCAGGCATCCTTAGCTATAATTATGGTTAGCATGACTGAAAGACATGGTCTTGATAGTCACCAGATCTGAATCCATTCGAGGATTATGAATTATTCTGGAATAAAGTCTGAGACTGTGTTTTCCACGTACATCAACCAGACTTGAGCTGCAAATGGAGCCACATACCTCCTAAAGAATGCCAGACACTGATAGACTCTAGGCCCAAAGCCCTAGTGAGTGACTTTATATTGTTGCTTCTATTCTGTTGTCTACTACATTTACATTCTTCTATGTCCTCATCAAGTTAATGCAGGGAAGCAATAAATAAAGCAAACAGAATGCTTGGATACATGGTAAAAAAGTGTGGAATTTAAATGCAGGAAATTTGTCCTTAAGGTCTAAAATGCACTCGTAAGCCCTGATTCTGAATATTGTATATAGTTTTGGTCACCATACTGAAAGGAATAATATAGTGTTGAGAAAGAATTCAAAGAAAAGCAACAAGAATGATTCAGGTCTGAGGTGGCTGTCATATGCAGACAGTTTAAATAGCTAATTTATTTTCCAATCTAAAACAGAGAAGATTAAGAGGAGAAGTGATCCAGGTATTCAAAATCCATAGGGGTATAGATGGATTCAAACCAGAGGACTGTTCCACACACAATTGGCAGCTCAGTTACCAAGATGGTGCCGTTCCTCTCTAGTTTATGTTGTTTATTTTCATGTTATGTCTCAATTTTTGTGTAAAAAATACATGTGGGGCCATTACAAAAAGTCTACAAAGATTCTTGGACCTGAGATTTTGAGCGTCAAATCTGACTTCAGTGGAAATGGAAGTACATGGCTTTGCTTCTCAAGCACAGGGCAAACAGGGACACAAATACAAGAGGAAGCGGGATAGGAGAAATGGCATGTTAGTTTGACTCCGGCACCATGCCTGTCATCCTCACTCCCCAGTATCCTGCTTGCAAATATGCAATCGCTGGACAATAAGATTGACTAAATTCCCTGTCAGATCAACACTCAGCACAACATGAGAGACTGCTGCGTCTCCTGTTTCACTGAAGCTTGGCTAAAACCCAGCATTACCGATACTGCTGTACAACCTGCTGGATTCATGATATACAGAATTGACAGCTGATACTACCAGTAAAAAGAAAGAAGGTGGAATGTGTTTCATGATTAATAACCTTTGGTGCACTGATGTGGAAATTCTCTACAGATCTTGCTGATCTAATCTGGAATACTTATCAAATGTCACCCTGTGGTGTATTGTAGAACTGAACAATAGTTGTTCTTTCCCTTTTCCAGGGGACGTGGGGGGTTTATGTTGCATAATTATGGGGGGAAGTAGTTTCCATGGTTTTCAGTTAGCTTTTCATTGGAAGCTATGCTGTTCAATAAAGTTAGCATTCCCCGTTCGTCTGCATTTGCCCCTTTGTGCCTTGAAACTGTATATTTCTTGTGCTACAAACATTTCCTGCTTATGTCTATGATTGTGGAATTGTCTTGGTGCCTTCACTGTGCTACACCTATGCATATCTCCAGATTTAAACCACGCTTTACTTTTGACCACAGATCTGGACTCTTTGACAACACCACTATTACCTGCATGGTGGTCACCATTGTGCCTGTGTGACTAGCCTGCTGCCTACAACACCTCACTGCATGCAGCTTCTCTATACTTTATCTTCCTTTTGTCCTATACGTAAGTTCACCTTACAAGTCACACCTGCTGCTTAATTCCACTTTAAGAATCAGACATAACACATTTGCTGTATTTCTTACAATATACAGTGTGACAGCACACGGGTGGTTGCTGGCACCTTGGGGAACTCCTTCCTACAGATATGTCCCTCTTAGCCTATAGACCATTTTCGCACGTAAGCAAGCACCCTTATCTGAGAGTGGTGATGACTCAGGCCCCTCACCAGGACACCAGGAACACGTAGTGCCACATAGTCAGAGACCTCGGGGCCCTTAGCTCATGGACTGAGATTCAGAGTCTTTAATTTACTCATGCCACTGTCCTATATGATCTCCTCCGAGAACATAAAGGAGGTCCCTTGCCGAGTCTTTTGCTCACAATTCCCTGGGCTCAACGAAGTTCACTTCCAACCATCACCCTCAGAAGCTCAGGGAGCCTCCTACTCTCTTGCTCACTTGGAACCTCTGGCTCCTAGATGTCTCATGGAGCTTCCTGCTTCCCCAAGACAGCCACTGGTCCTGTCACAGTCAGTTAGCCCTTAGACTTCCAGGTCTGCTTCCAGCTGATGAAATGCTCCTAATGTCACCAGGCTGGGCCTCACACACACTGGGACAGACATGCCTCACTCTTGCTCCCATAACTCTTAATGTAACTACACATTACACATTCTCATAGCACTTATCCACTCATAGTGAGACTCAGCACACTCTCCCTAATTAAAATACACACAGAACAACTTTGGCACCTAACTCTCACTGCCCCGTGCTGTGCCTCTGTGGCTGCTGGTGCAGCTTCTCCTTTTCTAGCCTCCACTGCTTTGTCACACGTGGAGATGCTGGCGCACCTCACACCTGTGCTCCGCCATCACTGCATCCCTCACTATTACAGTAGCTCCTATACTCAACTCACTCTACACACTGACCTCCTTGATAGCCCTTTTCTTCCGCACTGTAATAGGCTATCTTTCCTTTAATTCTCTAGGCTCCATACACGAAACAGTCTTTTAAGGCTTCAGTCACACAGTCCCCTCCAAGACTACAGTTCTTCCTGGTCCCTTCTGTTTTAGGCTCCAAAGTTTTTCCCAGTTTCTTCCAGAACTGTGGTTCACTCTCAGTGCCCCTAATTGGGGCTTAGCTACAGCCATTAGGCTGTCATCTCTCTGGCAACTGTAAGGCAGACATTGTCTTGCTTCGGCTTGGCTCTCTCACAGCCGAACCTCTGCATACGGAGTATCTGATCTCCCACTTCCGCTCTCGCCTGCAGCTAGTGCAAGACAAGATGTTGGCTTCTTTGGGAAGTGTTCAGCTTATACAGTACTTAAAGTGTTCTCACAGCTGGGGCTCATAAACTCTTCTAAGATGTGGTTACTGAGGCAATGTGTCATTCTCTGGTGAGAGCTCTGCCTCCACACTGAACACATTCTGTATCCCCACAACAGGAAACAACAGTACTCAAACCAAGCCAATGTTATTGCACTTAACGCTCCCTATTTTGGTTTTTGGTTTTGGTCTGAGATCTAGACTTATCCTCTATTGTTCAGATTCTTGAACACTGACTTTACCCGTCTCTTTAGATAAGTCAATTTTATAATCTTTGTAGATGTTGTTTTCTTTTTACTCAGTTTTGCCTGAGGCTGGGGCTAAATAAGTTGGACACTGCAGCTGTATTTATAATGTGCATCTCTAATTGATATAACCAAGAGGTTGCCCATTGGTATAATAGATGCTGTTTTGTCTCATCTGAGACTTTACCGTTCACCATTCTATCTCCCTGGGATTATGACGCTTTCTGTTTGTTCCCATTCTCTTTTATAGTGAGATAAATCAGCTCACTGCAGTGTCTTGCAGACTGCATACTAACATTCTGTTTTGTGTCTGGATCGCCCACTGGCTTTAGCAGTCTGAGTTGATTTTGTCATCACTCCAGATTCTTCTGCTGCAGCACACTACCTAACAAGCAAGATCAGCCGAAAAGTTCCTTTTTTATGGAACTGTCTTATCCTTATAAGTTGAGCAGTGATCCAGAGAACCCAACTTAAGCTCTGAGCAGAATCATTTACTAGCTGATCCACTTAGTGACTCATTTTTTAATTTTTCAAGCTACCATTTCATGTGATAAAAAGTGAAATATTCTGCTTTACAGCAGAATTAAGCAACATTATCTACACCTTCTTAATGCCTTGGTTTAGTGTTTTCTTAGTTAAGCACAGACTGTCCCCTAACACAGATAACTGCAAGTTTAATTTAATTAAAATGTGATTAGGTTCACGCTATATCACAAAGGGTTGCATTTGTACAGATCATTAGAATAAACTCTTTTGACTTTTTTTGGTTTTTTGGAGATTTTGAGGCATTGAACAACTTGGGAAAGATCTGAATTAAGAATTTTACAGAGAACAAGATCCATTTGGAAGGAACAGCAGACATATTTATCTTTTTTGTGCCTGAGCAAGGACCTCCAGGCATGGAAAGCATTTCCTTTACAGAAAATATTTGCAACAGGGAGCTCCCAGTGGGTCTATTGTTGCTTTGAACAGTTTTGAATAAACACAGTACAGAATTTGTTATGTTGTTATTTATTTAGTATTATTTTGGGTTTTGCCTTGAGGCTGTTTGTTCAGACATTTTTTTTTACTGATTCAGAAAATTAGCATCAACATGCTCTTAGGATGTGGGAAATCACAAACAGTACTTTGTTTTGGGGTATTTTTCTCTCTTTGCAGTTTGCGATACTTTACCGTGTTATTTTAAAACATGGCATTGATAACATGGCACCATTCTAGTTTATAAAACAATCATGCTTTTTGAACAAGCTACCTATATTTATGAGCTCTTCATGTACTACACATATATGATGTCATCATAGTGCAATTACTGTAAGTAAAGACGATGTACTCTGATGTTAATTCTTTGTTTTGTTTGTCTTTCTGTGACATTCATAGTTAAACCAGATCCCTCACAGTTCTTGCCTGTGGAACATACTTGATGGTTCTTCTGTCATTGCAGAGTCTGCTTGTGTGCCTACTGAGCTGAGCAGCATGGTGCTATGTGTATTGCAATAACCTCCCTTGTTTTGTAGATCTTGAAGATGCTGCAGTCTGAGATTGCTCTGCTGGAGAGTTACTTGGAATGGAAACGCCTGGAGCCACTATATTGGTGTTGGATGGTATGTTTCACTAAATGTTGCACACGAATTGTACATAATATCCTACTTTTTTATTTTCTTTTGCTCTGAACTTTTCAGTGCAATGCAGGAAAATAGATCAGATTCTCATTGCAGACTGGCTTTATTCATTGTAGGTTTTTCAAAGCTCCAGGCCCTTGTGCAAATTGGACTGATGGAAGAACAAACATATTTCGACATTGTTAATGTCACATAAGTGTACTAAAACCACAGCTGGAATATTTATGGTATATGATGCAAATTGGCAAATTATTGTTACAGTTTTATTTAAAAAATGAATGGAACCTTCATGAGAAACATGAAATGGAAACAAAAAACAACACTGGCCTGAAGCTGGTTTTCAAGGATGAAGTTTGTTCAAGCAATTAGATTGATCTTTTTATGAATTAAATCAAGTCTGACTAAACTGGGGTTATTTCTGGTTCTATTTTCTATTTATACTTAACTTATGAGGATCTGTATAATGTAGTTTTCACTTTGACATTATAGAGTGTTTTGCCTTTTGATAGCCACTGTATGTATCTGAATTTGTTTTGTAGTCTTGCTGACTTTTGTAGGGTACAACACATGGCTTGGGGTGTGTACAAATATACAATATATTTCTTCTTTTTGCATTTTTCTCAAAGCTGTCTGCTTCATGAAACACAGGAAGTTCACATTCTGATATGTGCGTTAAGTAACGATAACTGTCAATACCTCTGTTATATCCTTCAGTTCTCACAACTACTGTAGTTGTATTGCTATGTTAACAAAAAGGATAATATTTTAGTAAAATATTAAGAACAGATCACCTTGCTAACCAAAGACCCTTTATAATAACCAACAAAAGTTGCAACTTTGTACAATTTTGCCAAAGCAAATTTGTAGACTTCCAGAGAGTGAAATGTAATAGCATAAAAAAGCCACAAATGAAATGAGGTCATTCAGGACATTTAGTCCATTTGGTAGATTCTAGCTAATTGATTTGAGGATGTAATCCAGACATTGAAAGAAGCCTACTGTTCTTGGATTTTAATGCGCTCCCACATTGCTCCTACTTGTGACCTCTTGTCAGTGATTTAGTGCTAATATTGAAGACGTTCACTGAGTTGACTTTGTCAGTGCCTTTGAAGATTTTGAATATTTGGATCAGGTTTCTAGTGGCAGCGTGGTGCAGTGGTTAGCACTGCTGCCTTGCAGTGCTGGCCCTGGGTTCAATTCCAGACCTGGGGTGCTATCTACATGGTGTTTCTATGTTCTCCTCATGTTCCTACTGGTTTTCCTTGAATCAAGAGTTCCTGACTGATTCCTTCATTTGATTCACTAAATTCATTTGGTATAGTGAGAAGAATCAGGATTTGAGCTTATTATATGAGCACAGGAAATGGTTTAACTCCAATCCCGAAGCTTAGAGAACAAAAGAGAGAATGTGGAAACTCAAGTTGAATGTGATACAGTAAAATTTAAACAATCATAATGTGTCAGACCCATAAAAACACATATAGCCCTCATATAGCCTTTGAGGGCTGTGCATGAAGAATGGATTTTGCGCATTATTTCAAACAGCTATTGATTTAACTTTCCAAAAAATCCTGAGTTATATCAGAAAATAATAATAAATTCGGGATATTCTACAATAGGAAAGCGCATTTCTGTTTTTAAGTTTCAATATGGTCTTCAACTGTGAATACAAATGTGACCTAAATGAGGTAAATAACAACATCACGTCCTGTTTTATTAGTTTTTTGTCATCCTTCCATTGTTAAATGTTTAGCTGATAAACTTGATTTGCTCTGACATCTGCAGAAATTAGAATGTAAAATTTATGTTACAGTTTTATTGTTTCTATTAGTTCTTCATTAATTATTTGACCTTACCTTTGGTGAGACCTTTGTGTTCTAAATAGAAATCTAAATTTGATGTCATGTTGTTGCTTTACTACTGTATGCAACAAACAAGCTAAGCTCTCATCAGCTTAACTGTCTATATCCAATATTTCCTCTAGGCTCTTTCCAAAAATATAATATAATCTTCTTTCTAAAACTACATATTTTTTCATGTGGAAGAGAGAAAACTAAATCTCTCTTTTTATCAACTTTATATAATAGCTAATGTTTTGTAACTTCATAAATGATTAAGCATTAGATTATTAATTATTTCTCTGAATAAGGTATTAGGTTGTGCTGTTTTATTTGATCATTTAGTTTTTAATTTTGCTATAGTAAAACGCTACAAAGTAATATGCTCTTCTACAAGCAAACTACAGAATAAATATAGGGTCTAAGAAAACATTACTGTATTAATTAAATTAAATTGAATAAAACAAGTGAATCAAACTTTCCTATAAAGTATTTATTATATATAATAACTATTTTATATTATGTAAGTCATTGTTACCAATAGGGTGTCAAAAAAATAGAAATTATAGGATGGGACTAACTATTATTGAAGTTAATAAAGATATGCCAAAAAGACATCTGAGCAGTTTATACAATTTTGAAGCACCTGAGTTCTTTATCTTCTGGCACACCACTGGAGAAAGATTAATAAATCAAAAGGAGATCAGACACGCACAAAAAGGGTGTGCACAGGGTGATATAGCTGCTGCTTAAAACTATAGCCAGCAGCTATATCACACTGTAACTCTCAAATGGCTACCCACCAAAGCTAAGCAGGTTTTGTTGTGAGTCTGGCCAGTATCTAGATAATGTAGGAGACCTTCTGGGAAAGCTGAAGTTGCTGCTGGAAGAGGTGTGAGTGGGACCAAAAGGGAGCACTCACTCTGCGGTCTGTGTAGGTCCTAATGTGCGACATAACTCAAACAACGCACACACACAGGTACTAATACACTAGGATACATTTATTAATACATAGAATATGCATGTAAACCTAACAGATCTTATCGAGAGGGTTATCAGAATACAAAAGGTATATATTCAGTCAGTTACAAAGTGTTACACATATCAAGAGGACATACGTTCAGTATATCATTCATTAAGACCGTTTCGTAAATGAACTTGGTTATAACTTCTACATTAGATACTCAAAACAAGTACATTAAATTGATATCAACTGGTTGGGATAACAATTGAATTCTCGAGCTGTAATGCATTGAAGTTGAATACTCATCCAATCTCTGGGGATTCAGATCTCCTGCGGGCACAAAGAAACAGTTGCAGGCTGTTGCTGTCCAATCCGCGCTCTCTGGCTCCGTGCCAGGCTGTGCTGTGCGGCTTGCGACGGTGCGCTTCTGATGTTCACTGACCGGCTAGTTAGTGTTGGCTGTAACTAGCAAAGTTTGTGCACAGGAGAAAAGATGACTGTGGGTCCCAGCAAGTCAGGAAGAGGACCGGTTCGTTCCTGATGAAGAGCTAGTTCTGAATAATGATTCAGCTGTCCACAGTTCCGACCTGTTCATGAGGCCTGCTGCTGGTTCTAACCTCGGGTGGATCCTCTGGTTACTCTCTGGCAACCCCCGCTCTCGACTCTTAGAACAAAGGAAAGTTCTGGCACTCGGACACACTGGCCGTTCCGTGGTTGTCCGGGCTGAGTCTCAGGATGGTCAGGAGGTTCGCTGCGAGAATGTCCTGCCCTTGGGAGCCTTCTGCTCCTGGGCCGTCCTGCCCTGGAATTCTCCTTTGAATTCCCTTTAGAATTGTCCACAGAATCCTCCTGAATCCCTTCTGAATCTTACTGAATCTCTCAGGCTCTCTGTGTTGCCTTTTTTTTACCTGGAGGAACTTCAGCTCGTTGATTGGCTGAAAGTTCCATGGGCATCAGAGTCCCACGTGGGTTACTTGGCCCTACCAGTCCCTGATTGGTTGATCAAGGTGAGATATGAGTCACTTACTCCTGACACTTAGTAATGCAGTCCAGATGTCCAACTGGCACTCCCTAGACAGATAGGCGCCAATGGATGACCATTGATCATGATAGCCAGGCTTAGCTAAGTGCATCCCCCTTTGGGAGCTGTCCTTATCAAAGGAACCCTAAATCAGCCTGCATGAATAGTTTCTCTGTGGCTGGACCACAGAGATGAACAGAGAAATGAGGCCTAATTTGGGAAAGCTCAGAACACTTAATTCTTTCTTATTAATAAGCCTCGCCGCTACAACACTATTCAAAATCTTGAAAAATCAGGTCAGGACAGCCAGTTTGAATTAAAGATTGGTAAATGATACAAATAATAGTAGAAAACAGGGGAAGCTTTGAGTTAATTCTAATATGAAACCTATCTGCATATTTCAAAGTGATTGATTTGGTAACTTAATGCTGGAAATGTAGGGAAAATGCTGTAATAAAAAATAAAATTTAAAAAGCCATTATGATTCTAAATCAAAGTTTGCTCTGTAAGAATATTACTGTGCTGTATCCTTATTATAGTAAGTTATTATTCAACCTATACTTAAGTTGTTATTCATACTACACTATACAGTAGTAAGTTATTTATGCTACATGTACAGTATTACATTCTTTATTGGGGAAGAAAAACAATTACATATACAGTCATGTGAAATGGAAAGTACAACTTCTTAAGATGTTATGGTTTTAAATACAATACATACCATTCTATGGTATATATTATATTTATGTTATTGAGCAGGATGTTAATGCATAATAGAAATAGAAAATCATATGTCTAATTTCAAGATACAAGATTAAGGGCTTCAGTTGTAAATTATGCTGCACTTGTCTTTCCATTTTTTTTTGTTTCATATGAGCAGAAATAGTTCTTGTGTTGAAGAATCATTATAAATTTTTAGTTCTGAAGTCAGGGTAACATTATTCTATTCTATTTAAAATGTTGATTGACAACCACAGCAGTTTTTAGAGATCAAACTTAGTATGAACAGAGTGCACAGAGATGTACTGTACTGTACAGATCATCCTTTTTTTAATTTACCAAGAAACTCTAAATTTAACTGATGTCTGATTTAACACGCATTACAAATTAATCCTGATTCACAGCTCTCTGCAGATGCAAAAAATCAAATAACTCAAAT